CCTGATTGTATAATTTTGAATTTAGAGGTTTTGTCCACTTTTTTGTTATATTCCTAACTCTTTCATGTTTAACTTCCTTTTTTTACTTTTATTTTCCAGTTTTTTACTACTAGTGTATGTATAGAAATACAGTTGATGTTTGCACATTGTCCTTGTATCTTGCAACCTTGCTAATCTCACTTATTCTACAATAGTATTGGTTTTATAAAGTTCTTAAATTTTTAAAAAAAACTTTCAATTTGTTGCAGGGTACATGTGCTCATCAGAGAGACAAAGGGGAGTGGAGAAAGTACCTGCCCCTCTGCCAGTGGGGCATAATCACAGTGCAATCCCTTCTCCTTTATTTCTCCATTCTGTTGGGATTTTTAGTACATACATACTTGCACCCAGCATGTTTTTCAAGCTGCTGGGGCTGGAATTTGAATGGACAGCTGGTCATGTGGGATCCACCTTCCATAACCACTAGGCCTTTCCATGGTTGTAAGTGACCCAGACTGCTCCATCAGTGTCCTTTGTGTTTCCACAGGACACAGTGCGACGGGTGTTTGTCAGCAATGTCAGAGTTCTGCCACTGAACAGGGTGACTACATCTGCTTCCAACTTTGCATAGCTGTAGGCCCTAGCAGAGAGCAGTTAGGCAACATTGACTTCAGGCACTGGATGGAAAGCTTGCTGGGATGTTGGCTTATGCAGGGTTTTCTTTTTAAAAGTGTTTTTCACTTTGCCAGTGGTAGATTTTAAGTTAATCCATCTAAAAGGAGATGCAGGCCAGAGAATATTAGCTCTAATGGGTCAGGCATTATGTTTTAACAAGTGCTCATAAGCAAATTCAGCATTACTTTTCTAAAAGGCAGATTGAAAAATGTATCTCTACTTGGAGGCTGCCTCTCTGGTCATGCTATCTAAGTTGCCTACTGCCTTGCCTTAGGCAGAACCTGTTTCTAAGTCTCCCATAACATGGGAGTGACATATTAGATATTGTTACTAATTTTTAATATAATCAATATAATAATTGC